CAAGGTCACAAGGAGCAAATATGTTCAAAATATTTAAACAACTTGTTCTGAATAACCAAAAGGCTCAGGATGTTGATATTTAGTCAGATCAAGGACTACTATGTTTGTTAAAGTGAATGACTTTGACTTATATTCAAGGTCACAGGGGTCAAATTTGTTTAAAATCTTTAAACGACCTCTTCTGAATAACCATGGGTCCCAGGATGTTGATACTTTGCAAGCTGCATACTGAGATGAAAGGCTATACAATTTGTTCAACATAATGACTTTGTTCGACTTTCAAAGTAACAGGGGTGAAATGTTTTAAAATCTTTTAACAGGTTCTTTTGAATGACTTTAATCATAAATACTGATATTTTGCCTGTAGCTTTATTTTAGATCACTTTTAAGGTTGCAAGTGTGAGATTTATACCAGGTGAGCGATGCAGGCCCATTGGGCCTCTTGTATTCATTTATCACTGGCACTGGAAATTGACCTTGAGCACCGAATCCAAGTTTGAGCATGAGAACAGTTTCATGGGTATGGGCCCAAGTCCCACTGTATGTAATTTGTTCAGAGATAAATATTATTGGACAGTGTTTCTGTTCAAAAATCATCATGATCTTAAAATTTGTTAAAACTATGGACATGTACACTTTTATCAATAGAATTAATTTTAACTGATTTCTTTATTCTGTATTTTGCCTTAATTTTCAAGACAAAGAAAGGGTGATACCAGAGAAATGTGATACAGCAATGTACACGGTTTAACAAGCATGTGACAAGCTGATAAAATGTAAACTTTGAAGAAATATGTTCAAACTAACTTGGAGGTCCCGTTCCTTCTCCCTGTTCTTGATCCATGTCTTGCCCTGGCCCTGTGGGTCTATCAGCAGTGGATAGCGTGACGCCTTGGTGGTCACAATACCGTTCTGTACAGACAGCTCATCATTAGGCAGACCCTGGATATTCCATTCACCAATCTACATTTACAGGCACAAAGACAACGCATTAGTTCAATTAGTCAAAATACCTGATTTTGATTGGATGACCATGTAAGCACTGAGGTGATCATATCCTGTTTTACAGTAGTCCTGGAACTAGTTACATTTGACACAGCTATAGGTGTGCTCTCATCAGTCAAGACTTGGATCAACAAAGCATCTTTCTCAAGGTCTTGTTTAATTCAAATGAAACAAGACATCCCTGAGGGATGTTGGTGCCCACCATCATACCTTCTTTGAAAGTTCTATGCAAGATTGATCTTTTCTTTTCTATTGTCCGTTGGATGAAGTCATGTAAACATTAAATACAACTTATGGTAACTTTTGATCACAACTTCACACTGCTGTGGAGGAACCTTCCAAGTGAAATTTGAGAATGATCCCTCCAGCACTTTCTGAGAAACGGTGCTAAAATGAAATATTTAAGGACAGACTGATGGCAGACCATGGACAAAGATAATCTCCCAAAACGAAAGTGTTGACGGAGAGACGGACACCATTTTTACTATAGGGCACCTGCATGTGGGACAAAGGTACAAGGCCTTACCTGATTTTGTGTACAAATCTTGGGAAAGTTCATTTCCAGTGATAGAAATCTTTCAAAATACATTTACTCAATTTATGCAGCTTTAGTCTGTACAGCAGCATTTTTGTGTTTCATCACATATTTTTTCAAACAACTCATTATCAGGATTTCAGTATGTTTATCATAATGTTAAGGTAAAGCCTAAGTCAGTGATACACAGAAGAGAAAGTCAGCGATATATCTGGTGTAGACAGAACTGTGTATACTTAAAAGTCACCCCACTCTGTATGGGCACATAAACAAGTGTTTGTTACTTACTGTGGCATTGTCAACAAGCATAGTGATGAGGTTAAGATTGCTGGTGAAAGGAATGTTTCGGTTGGACAACTCCTTCTGCCAGTTGTTGAGCAGCTTGGTGCGAAACTCCTGATTAAATGGTCCCGAGTAGGACAGGAACCCTGTACACATCAGGACGTCGCCAACCAGTCTGCAAAGTACACACATCTCTGTTATTTCTAAGGACGCTTTGTTCACTTAAAATATCTTCTTTTCCCATAGGTGATTCATTCCATTTCACTGATGTGTTATTATTTATTAAACTATGAACTTTTAGCGAAATAAACTCGTATCACAAATTAGCATTTTAACTCAAATCATAGCATCAATTGTGATTTCAGATATGAAGTCAAGATGGGGACATTTATGACTTTGTGATGGTGAGAGAAAACAAGTTTTTCAGAACTTTCTGCACAATCTTGTATATTGCAATATGTTGAAAAGGATCTTTATAATCCATTTCTATGTCATGTGTTTTATGTAACTCTTTTGTAAGTTTTCTTTTCAGTTTAGTCTTTATGAAATAAATAGCAGGGCCTGTATCACTCAACTTGAATCTTGAACATGAGTTGGTAAAGATGATTCATTTGAACAAATGTAATAGCCATTTACCCAAGAAAGTTTCCAGAAACAAAAATGTGGGTTGAAAAACAGATAAAGAGACAATATGATTTCGAATTCTATAGGGCACCTGCAATGCAGGAACTTAAGAAACTGCATGGTGTAGCAGAACTGGACTAGGTCAATAGCCGGCGACCAGGTAGCACAGTTGGTAAAGGGTCTGTCTAGACGTTGTAGGGTTCTGGGTTCGTTGTCTAGCCGAGATTATTCCTATTACAGTGGTGCCTGTGGCGACCAATCCTTGTTCCAAGCATTGAGTGCACACTAATGGCAAGGGCTTAATTGAACCTGGGTGGTAAATAGTGTTGTCTTTTGGGGTGAAGACTTGGGGAAAATGCCTGTCAGTCATCTTTTTTATCAGTCTCAAAGTAACATAACATGTAACTACAGATCAAGGGCAACCTTTTAACATATCTAATTTGAGAAAGATGAGCTGTCAAAAACTTTTTGAGAAATAGCAATAACATATCTGAACTGTTAAAATACGAGTTAGCTGCCTGGTGGCCATCTTGGTTTTTTCTGATATCTCAAGATGAAACAAAGGAAAGCTACATATGAAATTGGAGAGGTGCTGTCAAGTACTTCTTGTAATATTGCAATGACATATTTGAACTGTCAAGATGAAAGATTATATTTATGATGTTCCATAACAATGAAACATGCACAAATAAGAATTATTACTTTAGAAATAGTGATAACAATCATTGATTCAGGACAGATGACAGACAATAGAAGGATGAACCTACAGGTGAAGGGCTATTTACATACTACCTTCTAAATATTGGGGGCTAAAAAGGTTCTAAAAGATGCTGTGCTATGGCATCAGATCAAAGTGGTACTTCATGCAGGTCAGAATCAAAATTTAAAACGTGTTCACAAATCTATTTCAGGACCCCTTACAACGTAACACATTTCAAGTCCCATCATTAATACATAAGTGTTATTGAAAGACCAGTGATCCTGCTAGCTGAGACACAATCTGACAGTGTGGAGAGAAAACCAGTCAACATTACCATTCTAACAGAATTAATATTTTACAGATATAACAATAACAATAGGTCGTCCATACCTCTCTATCTTTGCTTTACAGATATAACAATATGGCGTCCAGACCTCTCGATCGTGGCGTCACAGATATAACAATAACAATAGGTTCTCCATGCCTCACTCTATCTGGGCTTTACAAATATAACAATCGGTCGTCCATACCTCTCTATCTTGGCTTTACAGATATAACAATAACAATAGGTTCTCCATACCTCTCTCTATCTGGGCTTTACAGATATAACAATAGGTCCTCCATACCTCTCTATCTTGGCTTTACAGATATAACAATAACAATAGGTCCTCCATACCTGTCTATCAGGGCTTTACAGATATAACAATAACAATAGGTCCTCTATACCTGTCTATCTGGGCTTCACAGATATAACAATAACAATAGGTCCTCCATACCTGTCTATCAGGGCTTTACAGATATAACAATAACAATAGGTCCTCCATCCCTGTCTATCTGGGCTTTACAGATATAACAATAACAATAGGTCGTCCATCCCTCTCTATCTGGGCTTTACAGATATAACAATAACAATAGGTTCTCCATACATCTCTCTATCTGGGCTTTACAGATATAACAATAGGTCGTCCATACCTCTCTATCTGGGCTTTGCAGATATAACAATAACAATAGGTCGTCCATACCTCTCTATCTGGGCTTTGCAGATATAACAATAACAATAGGTCGTCCATACCTGTCTATCTGGGCTTTACAGATATAACAATAACAATAGGTCGTCCATACCTGTCTATCTGGGCTTTACAGATATAACAATAACAATAGGTTCTCCATACATCTCTCTATCTGGGCTTTACAGATATAACAATAGGTCGTCCATACCTCTCTATCTGGGCTTTGCAGATATAACAATAACAATAGGTCGTCCATACCCCTCTATCTGGGCTTTACAGATATAACAATAACAATAGGTTCTCCATACCCCTCTCTATCTGGGCTTTACAGATATAACAATAGGTCCTCAATACCTGTCTATCAGGGCTTTACAGATATAACAATAACAATAGGTCCTCTATACCTGTCTATCTGGGCTTCACAGATATAACAATAACAATAGGTCCTCCATACCTGTCCATCAGGGCTTTACAAATATAACAATAACAATAGGTCCTCCATACCTCTCTATCTTGGCTATACAGATATAACAATAACAATAGGTTCTCCATACATCTCTCTATCTGGGCTTTACAGATATAACAATAGGTCCTCCATACCTCTCTATCTTGGCTTTACAGATATAACAATAACAATAGGTCCTCTATACCTGTCTATCTGGGCTTCACAGATATAACAATAACAATAGGTCCTCCATACCTCTCTATCTTGGCTATACAGATATAACAATAACAATAGGTTCTCCATACCCCTCTCTATCTGGGCTTTACAGATATAACAATAACAATAGGTCGTCCATCCCTCTCTATCTGGGCTTTACAGATATAACAATAGGTCCTCCATACCCCTCTATCTTGGCTTTACAGATATAACAATAGGTCCTCCATCCCTCTCTATCTTGGCTTTACAGATATAACAATAACAATAGGTCCTCTATACCTGTCTATCTGGGCTTCACAGATATAACAATAACAATAGGTCCTCCATACCTGTCTATCAGGGCTTTACAGATATAACAATAACAATAGGTCCTCTATACCTGTCTATCTGGGCTTCACAGATATAACAATAACAATAGGTCCTCCATACCTCTCTATCTGGGCTTTGAAGAGCTTGCTCTGCTGAGTCCATCTCACCTTCTCCCCAGCTAAACCCCCAATGAGGGTGGAGGCAGCTGTCATCCTCCTCCTACAGGACTCAGCATTGTCCAGCAGCTCCTGCAAACAGGTAGACCTTCATACAGTTACAAACATCTCAAACCTGACATGTCTAGGTAGACCCTCATACAGTTACAAACATCCCAAACCAGACACATAATGTAACCCTTCATACTCATTCTAAGTAGAAACATCTCAAACAGACACATCCATGTAACGCCACAGGACTTATTTCAGCATATTATACAAAGAACATAATCAATTTAATTGGTCTTCCAGATCTATTGTACATAGGTTTATTTTAAATCTACGCAATTCCTCATTTTAGGATTCTGTTCAACTTCAATCACATTGGTACAAGTTTAAACTGATTGCCATTAATTAAGTGCCATTAACATCATCACGATGGGAATATGTTATCAGTGACTGATACATAGAGATTCAGCAATTCCCTGAGGCATCAGTGAAACCTATCATCAACCTATGTGCCAAGCATCACATCAACAAACTTTAGTACTGTGGTATGTTGTATTTGTGCTGAAAGTCTGATGTTGGTGTAGTTTCTATTGATACTGAAGTTACATGTATATTAACCCTTTCACCCCTATGTAACTTTTGTAGACTCTACTGTGCATTGATCAGGAGGAGTCCATAATGGTCTACAGGGGTGAAAGGGTTAAAGCAATAACGATGATCTTGGTCGTACCTGTTTTTATATTGTACACTGAACAATTAGATTATAACATTGTCAGTGATCTTGGTCGTACCTGTTTTTCTTGCATGGCTGCATCATACATAGCCTGCACAGCATCCAGTTCTTTCTGCTTAGCGTCTAGCTGACCCTGAGCTCCAGCCAACTCAGTACTAGCCACAAGCAGGCGCGCTTCTTGTTTGGCTAAGTTGGCCTGACAGGCACACAAGCAAAACAAAAGTTTTAATACCTTTGACCCTAGTTGACCTTGAAAGAAAGTGTTTATTTATTTACATAAACCTGATAGAACTTCAATTCAAAAAGCTTCTTGCCAAATACCATCGTTACAGGTTTTTGTTTAGTCAATGGAGGTTTGCATTACATTGATCAGTGACCTCAAAAGTTGACTGAAGTCATTTAATTGTTCAATCTTAATAGCCCTCTAGTCATCATAGTTCCTAAGAAATCATTAAGTATTTGAACCCTTTCATCAACACACTTGAAAATGGGTCAAGGTTATTTATTTGAAAAAAATAAAAAGTAAGAGTTGGAGCATACCTTTAGTGGCAGTACTTCACGGTTGATACCAAAGAAGAAGGACATGGCTGTAGTCCAAGACAGCAGACCGGCCACACTGCCACACACCTTTTTGGCTGTCTCAAACGTGTAGTCTTCCATGTTGAGGTATACTGAGAGAAGCTCTACCGTCTCAGCATTGATGGAGTCCTTGGGGAATGACTGTAGCGTTGACAGGAATGATGAACCACTCAACAGCTACAGATCAACACAAAGAACACATGTTGTACTGTTGATATATCATCATTTAAGTTTCATCAAATAAGGTTACAGTGTCAGGACAAACAAAACAAGCAAATTTGTGGAATTTAAATCCCCCGCTTGCAGGACATATTGTAGGTAAATATAATTGAGGTTAGGTTTAATCAAGGGACCATAACTCTGCCAAATTAAGTCCTCGGAAAGAGGTCATCAAAGTTGGTTGAGCCCCTCAAGCAGTTAACCCTTGTACCAAATTTGAAGAAAAATCAGTTAATATTTGTTGCAGTTATTGCACGGGAACGACAGATAATTATGTTTTTCGTTATTCCAGGGGCCATTACTCTATGAAATAAAGTTACATGGTAATGGTCATCGAACTTGGCCAAGCCCTTATGGCATTTAACCTTGTTACCAAGTTTGAAGAAAATCGCTTAACATTTGTTGTAGTTATTGCACGGACACAAAACACGGCCATAACTCCCCCAAATGAAGTCCCATTAAAGTGGTCATCGAACTTGGCCGTGCCCTCAAGGCATTTAACCATGTGACCAAGTTTAAAGAAAATCGGTTGAAATTTGTTGTAGTTATTCCATGGAAACGAAACCCAGAAGATAATGCATTTTTCGTTATTCAAGGAGCCATAACTTCCGTTAAATGGGGTCTGCTGAAAGTGGTCATCGAACTTGCCGAGCTCTTAAGACATTTAATCCTGTGACCATGTTTGAAGAAAATCAGTTAACATTTTTTCTGTAGTAATTGCAAGCTTAACGAAACGCAGCAGTTAATGACATTTTTCGTTATTCAAGGGGCCATAACTCTGTCAAATGGGGTCTGCTGAAAGTGGTTATCGAACTTGGCAGAGCCCGTAAGACATTTAACCCTGTGACCAAGTTTTGAGAAAATGGGTTAACATTTGTTTTAGTTATTGCACCGAAACGAAACCTGACAGACAGACAGACAGACAGAGACAGATACAGACAGCGGAGAGACAGACAGACATACCCTAATTAATATCCCTGTCTCGGTGAAAGCGGGGGATAACAATGATTTGCTGGGGGAGGGAAATTTTTAGGGGAAAGGGCAACACCAATCCTTTATACAACATTTCGATTTACTGATCCCAAGGATGCCTCATCGTAAATTTGATCAAAACCTGATCAGGGGGTAGAATATATTATGTATAAGGGACTGAAGTAAATCAGGATGAAAACAAATAAACAGAAAAGCAATCCTGGAGGCATTGATGTATTTGACACAAAATATCCAAAGTACATTATAGTGTTATTGATTGGTTATTTCTGTATTTGCCCAGTTATTGGTCCAAGGCCTGCTATATTGGCCTGAGGCGATAGAGCCAATCAATAATGTCTTTATTAACTATCCCTGTATTGGCCAACTTTTCCCTGTATTGGCCAACTTTTCCCTGTATTGGCCGACTTCTAGACATGTATTGCACAGGGCCACTTTTTCTGTATTGTCACAATATCAACCTAGTTAATTAATATCATTATAGGATCCAGATCTCAAGTGTTTTCAAGACCTCATTTCCCTATTGGGTCTCGCCCCTAGGGCTGGGACAGACCCCAGAGCCAATTGTGGTGGCATGGGTGTATTTTTTCAATGATATCGAGCATGGGTAGGAAGACACAGTTTTAGGGAAGGGATCGCCACCATTTCTAAGTTATTACCCAAACAGAATATTGGGTTCCACCTCTGCATAGGGAACTAAACTCAGGGATAAATTATGTTGGCAAAAGCATTTTCATCCCTTCATGACCAGAAATTGCATATATGTGTATTTGGTAGAGATCTGAAACATTTCTCAGCTGTAACCCGATTCCCAAATTTAATCCCACCCATTGGTGTGGAAATGGACTAGAAATTCTGGTAGGATGAATGTATTTGTCAAATGATGTATATGTATACATGTATGGTTTCAGGGTGGTGATGACCCAATTTCCCATATTGGGCCATGCACGTCTGCCCCCAGGTAGGGTGTACATCCTGTTTATACGACATTGAGTCCCCTTTGCCCAATAATGGTCCAAACCAAATAAGTTGAGATCCCTATGTACTTCCCTTGGGCCCTGCTCTCTGCCCCCAGGGAGGAGCAGTGGCAGCACACTCTTCACATATACATAATGCAGTCCCCTTTGCCAAAAGATACTCTAGACAAAATTTTGATAAATCTTTCATTTGTACAAAAGTTATTTGACTTTGACTTCTGACCTAGACCTGAAGGTCACAGTGACCTCATATCAACTCCTATTTTAGGGTGATGCAGGTCCAATCTAAGTTTCATCAAAATATTTTTGACAGTTTAGGTTGATGGCGAAGAAAAGATTTCACACTTTCAAGTACCTAACATAAAAACAATGTTCTGTCTGCAACCTACATAAAAAGTATTAAAAGCAGTCCTGAAAGGGTTTTTTCACTCTCTTAATAAGCTCGCTTAAAGGAACATACAACTAGTGGTAATCGTTTGCTTTCTAATTATAAAACTTCCCTTCATTAGCTCTAGTACTTTCTTGATAAAGTCACCTTGAGAGATTCACCCCACGATGGTTTGGGACAAATCCGTTCTGGGTCCGCCGTCACAGTATCTAATCTCTTCTGGAAGAGAAGGAGCGCACAATCCATAATCCTCATGATGAGATGAGGTGGTTTTCCCAGCTTCTTCACAGTGGCAATGTCTGAAGGCTTGATAGTCTGGAAAAGAGCAGAAATTATTAATCTTTGTAAAACATTCAGCTTCACTTGTAAATTAGTATTGTAGTCACACATTTGAAAATGTCTATATTTTCAAATACATTTGGATCACCAAACCTACTTTAAGAGCATTCTCTGCCTCCTGTAATGCAGGTTTAGCAGCCGCCAATTTAGCATGAGCCACAGATTTCTCTGAGTTTATCTCATCTACGATCTTCTGGGCACGATCCTTCACTTTCTGTACAGCACTCTTCACTTTCTCAGCAGCTGTGGCACTCACAGTCACGTCCGCCAACACCTGAAATTTAAAATTCCAATTAACGTATTGGCTGTAGAATTACTATTTCATTAATAACCTGCAGAGTTTGCATGTAAACCTGTTTTGAAACCTGAATATTCATTTTATATATGTACAGAACTTTATACGAAATATATAGTCTCCTAAAAAATACAACTTTGTAATTAAAAAAAATAACTTGATGGGTTTTATGTCATACGAAATTGCAGCATTAATACTTAAAGCAAATAATGAACAAGTTAAATTCATGATGACCTCATAGATAAATGTGTGGTGGAGAAATTCTAACAGCATTTTTTTTTACATAAAATCTATAAGAGCACCAGTGTGCAAAATGTGAGTGCACCAATGACTAATGTTGGACTAAGTTACAAGATCTTGGCACCTGCCATTATACTATCTTCAACGGTTATATGCAAGATTGATCTTTTCTCTTCAGTTGGACCGAGTCATGCAAACAGTAAATGCACATTGTGGTAATTTTTGATAAAAACTCATACTGCTGTGTATAACATTATTCTTTCAAAGTTAGGTTGTCATTTGATCTATTTCCTAGCCCAGTACCTAAAGGGATATAACATTAAAAACAATATTTCAATATTTGAATGTACGTGTGTCGGCACTACCAACTCAGACCGAGATGCCAAGAGATATTGAGCAAACACCGTTTCAGAAAGTGGATAAAGGGCTGTAACTCTGTACGTTACCGTTAGATATTAGTGGTTATCTTGTCTGAGCTGTTATGATAATGAACCTTTTTATGAAGTTTGAATTCAATCTGTTGAAAATTAAAGAAGAAATTAAGCCGACACTGTTTCAGAAAGTGGATAAAGGGCCCTAACTTTGTAAGTTATCGCTGGATATTTCGGTGGTTATCAAACTTGTCCGAGCCATTATGATAATGAACCTTTCTATGAAGTTTGAATTTAATCTGTGGAAAATTAATGAAGATATTGAGCAGACACAAAGCACGCCCACTCGATCACCCCTCCCTGCCCGCCAATGTGATAACATATTATGTCCAGTCTTTCGACGAGCGTATGATATACAAAACACATCTTGTGGCTAACTTTACTTAAAGCAAGCACATGGTTCTGGCTAAAACAATATATTCATCTGCAGAGAGCAGCCTTGCTAGGGAAATATGGGTCCTTAATAAGACTTCTATTGATATCAATAGTGCATCTTTTATACAGGGACACATTTTGGAAACGGTATTTAGTAAATTTCTAATAATCACTTTGAACTTTTCGTCAAATATTTTGGCAGATAACAAACTCTTTATTAAGAAAACATTCGTTGTTTGCTGTATGTACATGTATATGGTAGCTATGAAACGGCCAGGCTAAAACCTGGCTATCCAAAAATTTAGCACAGGGATCTGGCACAATTGTTTTGTTTCTTACTCTGTACCACCCTTTCCGCCCTTAACCTTAGCAATGACAGTGGTGTACCTTGTCTGCCCTAATATTAGCCTGTGCCAGCTCCTTTTCTTTGACGACCAGTTCCTTAGACAGAGCATCCACTGACGCGCTTGCCTCAATCAGTTTCTCCAGACCAGTGTTCATTCTCCGTGCCATCTCTGCAATGTCAGAGTGCTGACCACTGTACACATTCTTGTAGCCATCCAGGAAAGACAGGTAAGACTTGGGTGTCACGTGTGTCTGACGCCGATACCTGCAGTCGAAACAATACACTACCTTGAGACCACAGTGGCCATCACAGATTTCTGACTAACCCGAAGAACTTAACATTTGAGGGCAATGTCAGGAACTTTTGTATGATGTTTTGTTAAAACTGATCAGGTCGTACAAATAGTGGTTGAACTACGGATTAATAAAACGAAGTCTTAATTAAAGCCAATCTGAAAACAAAAGACCATCTTTGATCATGAATTGATTAGAAAAATAACAACACTTTGTCAGGTCTATCTTGGATTTTAAATCGACCTAAAAAATAACAACTACATGACCTTTAGACAATCGTCTGCACCATATTTTGTGAACATTTGCTCATTATTTAAGACCTAAAAAATAAGTTGAAATATTTTTTTCAAATTTCCTCTATGTAGCCTGACCCTTGGCCTCCATAACAAAGGAGAGCCACACCCTTCATTTATACAAAATTTAATCCCTTTCATCCACGGATACTCCAGCCAAATTGGGTCTAAATATTTATCTTCAATCCTAACGGTATTGAAGTTAAGTTTAATCCCACATTTGCTATTTATTACAAGAGGGGTAACACCCTTTATTATACAATATCTAAATCACTGTGTAAAGGGTTTATGCATGCCACATTAAACACTCGAGGTGTAATGCAATTCCAGTATCTTCATAGTGGATCTCTCTTGGTTATCATTTTTCATTAAAATTACTTAACTGCACAATGTCTACTTAGCCAATCTGGTTTTGTATTCCTTCCCATAACAAGAGGCCCATGGGCCTTAACGGTCACCTGATATATTTATACAGAGAGTTGATTTTGTTTTTAACATGAACTGAAATATTATTCAAAGTGACAAAAAACAATAAACCACCTTATTCAATATCTAGCATACAGATTTCAGACTAAAAAGGATTTGAAACTAGCACCTCTGATTCTTAACAAGGAAAATGAAGAAATTTTAGCACACTGACTCCTTTGAGCCCCACCCTACAGCCCTTGGGGGTAGGGCTGGCTCAAAATTTTCAAAGTATCAAACTGTCAATTCAAGGTTATAATTCCAATCAAGTTATTAACATGTAATATTCAAAGTATCATTTGCCATTATAAACCATAATAAATTT